GAATTACACAGGGAGTTTTAAAAATGATTGATATCCATTACAGAGGTTCTGATTTACTTTGCTTGGCATGTGGTCTGAATGTTAGTTTTTTTTTTTGTCTTTTTTTAGACATGATCTCAACTTGTCACTCATGCTGAAATGTAGAAGTATGACCAAAGCTCATTGCAACCTCAAACTCCTGAGCTCTACCAACTCTCTGGAGTAGATGGGGCTGTAGGCACATGACACAATATCTAAATTAAAAAAAAAATTTCATAGAGGTACGGTCTCACTGTGTTGCCCAGGCTGGTCTCAAACTCCTGGGCTCAGCTGGCATTGGAATTTTCAAAAGCTTTTTAGGTGACTCTACTGTGCTATCAAGAATAAAGACCACTGTCCAAATGTGCACAAATCAATGAGAATTTTGTTAAAATGTAGATTCTAGGCCCAACAAGGTGGCTCACACCTGTAATCCTGGCACTCTGGGAGGCTGAGGCAGGAGGATTGCTTGAGCTCAAGAGTTCAAGATCAGCCTAAGCAAGAGCGAGACCCCTATCTCTACTTAAAAAACAGAATAATTAGCTGGCCATTGTAGTGGGCACCTGTAGTCCCAGCTCCTTGAGAAGTTGAGGCAGGAGGATCACTTGAACCCAGGGGTTTCAGGTGGTTGTAAGCTGGGCCTATACCATGGCACTCTAGCCTAGGCCACAGAGTGAGACTTTGTCTCAAAAAAAAAATGCAAATTCAGACTTAGTAGATCTGGGATGGGGTCTGGGAGTCCATGTTTCTAACAAACTCCCAGGTGGTGCAGATTTTGCTAGTTTGTAGACCATACCCTAAGTAGCAAAGGCTTGGAGAGCACAATAACATGATTCCCTAGCTCTATAACATGGGATTTCTCTTATTTACATAGTAACATGCCTCATTCTGGCACCACAGACTGGCAACAGAGGCATTTAAGGCCTCTAACAGCAGTGGTAGAATGTGACTGATTATCTGAATGATTCCTGGGTAGGGTTTAAAAAAATGCATATTCCTGGGCTCCATACCAGATGTACTAAATCACAATATTCAAGGTACAGCCTGCACAGTGTAGTTTGAAAACACTTTCTAAGTGGTATAGATGACTGACAAGCTTTAGGAACTACAATATGCTTCCAGTATAGTTTTCCAGGCTCACGTCCCACTAATTCAACCAACAAACATTATCGCACCTGTCTCATATCATATACTATGGAAACAAAGATGAAAAGTGTCATCCTCACCTTTGAGGAATTGGCAAGATAAATGACAATAACTAGAATATTTACCATTCCCCAGATATTGTCTAAACACACATCTGCTAACGATTTTCTCTTTCTGAGAATGTCTGGGTTCCTCAGCACCTGATCATTGCCAACTAAGCCAGACACCCTATTTATCCCATTTAAGCCTCCATACTTCTCTTCAAGCTTACGATGCTTGGTATTAAAATAAACCCAACGTGAAACAAAACAGTAGTTGACATTTATATAGTGACTTCTATGTGCCAACCCATGTTCTAAGCACTTATATATGTAATCTTTTCAAATTCTCCCAGTAACCTTATGAACTGGGTTTTATTACTTATCGCCATTCTGAGAAAAGGGAGAAACGGAAAAGTTAAGTAACTTGCCCAAAGGCATACTAAGCAAGGTTTACCCTTAAGCCTATGCTTCCCTGCCAAGTTAGCGACAGGGCTGAAATTCAGAATACTGTAACATAATTCTCAGTGACCCTGCCACTTTCCTGGTTATCAGTTATTTGTGTGCTTGTTTCACAATACAGATTCAAGTACCAGGGCAGGAATGATGTTTTACATCTCCTACAGTGCCTGCTTAGGGTGTATGCACTTAGTAGGTGTTCAATAAATAGTTGTTGGCTAGGCTGTTCCATCGTGGGGAGAGGAGGAATGGATATTAATTTAAACCAACAGACAACAGATAAACAAGATAACAGCCTGCAGGTCTCACGTCACCAGTAGATCCCTCTCACCACCCCCCCACCCCGCGCCGCCAGAAGAAGGAGGACCCTCCCGGCTTTCCGAGCGTCCAGCGCCCCGCTCTGGCTCTGCGCTCCGTCCTCCCGGCCAGCAGGTGCCCCCAGACCCCCGGCTTCGCTGCCGCCGCCGCCGTCGCAGCCTCGCCCTCTCCCGCTCGCTGCGCTGCTTCCTGTTGCCGCGATCCAGGCCCCGAGCTGTGGGCGCCCAGGCGCCCGAGGGTTCCTGGTGCGCTCCGCTAGGTAACAGCGCGGCGTCAGCCGCCCGGCCGGGGTGGGCGCGGACCGGTGGCCCACAGGTGGGGAAGGAGGCGGGTAGACGCTCTGCCTGGCCCCGGGAGGGGACAGGGCCTCCTGCCTCTGGGCGCCCGCGGCCGCCCTCCGCGGGGCCGCGGGCTGCCGGGATAACGGTCTGGCTCCGGGCTCCCGGGCCGGGCGCGGCCGGCGGTGGCAGGCACGCCCGCGCGGAGGTGCCATCGCCCGCCCTGCGCGACGCCCGAGTCTGCCGCTCGCCGCCAGCCACGCCCGCTCCCAGGCCCGGAGCCAGGTGGGCCCGCCTGGCGCTCCTGCTCTCGCGCCTGGAGAGGAGCCCGCCCAGGACTTTTGAGCTGCAATGGCCATCTAAGTACTCTTCCATTCTTTGGCAAAACTAAGAGCAAAAAGCTGAAACTCAGGAGTTCCCGAGGTCACAGAGTTGTATCTGCCATTTACAAATATCTGTTCTATTATTTGTTTGTAAATGGGCCACTGTTTGCTCCATTCTGCTAGGGAATTAGGATTCAGAGAAGAGGACTCTAAAAATACTAATCGGCATATCCAAATGAGCTGATCCGCATTACTGGCCAGTGACCCTGGCATTTAAAAGGAAGTAAGGGCGGGCATTTCTTTTCACTGTGGGTACTTTGTATTTCTGTCCCTTTCTCTGAAAATTGGCCTGGGTGTTTTACAAAATGTATCTCAGAACTCCATGTCAAAACTGGACCAGACCATAGAGTTCTTCAATTCTTTTTTTCTTTCTTTCCTTTCCCTTTCTCCCTCCCTCTCTGCCTCCCTCCCTGTCCCTTCTCCTGCCTCCTCTTTAATTTATTTTTATTTTTTTTTTGGTAAAACCTGAGGCTCTAGGCGAAAGTGATTTGCCCACACTTTTCTGGCTAGTTAGGGGCAGAATAGACTCAGGTCTGTTACGGAAACCTACTAATTTCTTGAATGGAAATTTGATTTCAGATGAGGGCTGTACAGAACTTGACCTTGATAAAGCCCTTTGTGGATAGCATTCTTGGGAGTGGTTTGTGTATTGAAGTGTGTTGGTCCACAGATACTATTTCACTTGTCAGATTAGGGTTAAGCAATTAAGTGTAGCCATGCAGAAAATTCCTGCTGAAATGAGACAGATAGCTGAAATGTTTTTGACTTTTTAAATTTGTACTTTCAATAGAGGAATGACAATTGGTTACTTTTAGATTTTAATCCTGTATGACTACATTGACTCAGTTATTGTTGTTCTTGTCTTCATATAGTTGTCACCAGTAAAAATTCCAAAGCGTAGATTTCTGACATTGTTTCATTTTTAACCGAATCATTGCCTTAAACCTAGTTTTGTATGTCAACAAAAACTCCCCTCTTGTACCTCAAAATCCTTCTGCTTTCCTTCTTGGTAAATCTCTGAGTTAGATGTCAGAACTGAATAAGACTAGGATCCCCTCCCCCTCTTTCCAGGAAGTCTGAATTCTTTGTTTAGTTCTAAATTTAGATTTACCCCAAGTTTAAATTTTGACTGATAAACCTGTGACCCAGCTCCAAACCTCAGCTGAATTTAGTATGACTTAAAACCGCATTAAACTGTCATGTGTCATGTGACATCTAACAGAAACCAAGGTGGTGGTGGTTTTTTTTTTTTTTTC